TTATGTATCTTTTCTCCATGATGTTGATCCTGGTAAAGATCATGTTGCCGGTTCTTTGAAGATTCAAAGAGTTTTTTGCATTTAGCCTGATTACAATGCTATTTCAAAGTACTGCAACTTGTGGAGAAATTATGATGACATCGACAGTCGTTGGAACAGCATTTTACGCGTAATTAACTACTACGAAGAGCATCAGAGTGTTCTCGAGCATTTTCACGGACCTGGTCACTGGAATGATCCTGACATGGCAAGTGCATTTTCGTTTATTTGACTGATCATTGATTAGGGTTTTCATGCCGTTACTACAGAGGCTATTGACACTCGGAGGAATTTTTTTCCGTATCTCATTTTCAGATTGGAAAGATCACACATGCGCGCGCACACACGCACGCACACTTACTGCTTAAAAGAATTGATGAAGAAACAGCGACAGTGTCTCTCTTCTGCATCGTAGAATCCTCATCGATATGGTACTCCGGATTCATAAAATTATTCATGGAATCTTTGATATGTGATTTTCATTTCCCTCTTGCGTCAGCTGTTATAATCTGCTTCCTCGTCTTACCATATTTTATTTACCATATTTTATTTCGCAGGAATTTTTTTAGTCATATGATGAGACAGTGCGATTCAACCATTTAAAGTTCTTTTTCGACGTTTGTCGTTGTACGTCATCTTTCAGGTTGATACGGCATAATTGCACTATCAGCCCCTTGCTTAATGAGATCCACCTCCCTCTTTAGGCAGTCCTTGCTTTGCATGGCTGTGTCATATGAATGTAAAACTGCATTACGGTATGAGTCCAACTAATTTTTTGGTGTCGAAACATTTAATAGTGAATTCTTTGCCAAGGAGAATCAGCGATGCTTAAAAAATCTTCGCTACCCAGAATTCGATTATCGTTCCATGGATTTTAGCTTTTGATTGAAAAAAAGCGGCTCACATAACGGTTTAAAATTTTTTGCTGCCGTGTTCTTGTATGAATTTTAAAGTGTAGTTTTCTGTGTATCTTGCTCATAAGCTCATATTAAGAGTTTTTAAATTTATTTTCCTTTCAGGTACTCATAATTAACTTGCCATATTTGTTCATGTCTATTTTTTTAATTTGAGATTATGATGATTTTGTTTAACTGATATGTTTTAGCTCGTCATCGGTAATCCTGGGCTAACCGTTTATCAAGCTAGAACGCAGATGGCTTTGTGGTGTCTTTGGAGTGCGCCTTTGTTTATGTCCAATGATTTGCGAAACATTCGGCCTGAGTTTAAGAATATACTGCTTAACAGGGATCTGATCGCTGTAGACCAGGATCCGCTTGGTATCATGGGACGAAGAATTCACGTAGTAAGTTTCGTGACGTTATTTTTTATTTGTGTTAATATTTCATTGTTTTGTCATTAAAACAACATAGTGCTGTTAGTAATCGTGTGCTCAAGCAAAATTCTTGTCTTTGGAAAAGCTTTCCCATTGGCTATGGAACCTTCTGATAAGTGGATTATTTCATTTCTGATGTTTCTTTACAGACGATAAAATTATGTTAAGTTTATTGAATTTAGTGCGCGATTTATTTAGAGTTTATTCGTTTCAGGAATAGCTCAATAATTTTAGAAAAATTCGATTTTGTTTTATTCGAATTTTTGCCAATCCTGTTTCTGAGTTAGATTTTTATTTTGGGTAAGCAATAATTTCTTATATGAATTCGTTGAGTGTTCAGCACTATTGTATGCATTACCCCCGTTTATTGGAATTTTAAGGTTTACTGCTGCAGTGAGATAATCGATGAATCTTGCTTTTCAATTTAAGTTATAGAATGATTTAATGGTGACACATGACAAGCATCATTCTTAGTTCATAAACACAGCTTGGTTTGCTACTTGTGAAAACGTTATTTGGCTGGTCGTCGTAGTGTCACAATGAATGTATTATTTTTCAGTTCTCTGACATCATTGATCAAGTATTGTCCGGTTATTCAGTCATCTAGTTGAAGTGTCATCAAGTTTCTTGTTGTTTTTTTGGTAAGGTTAAATGGAACGCTAAGCGAATCTACTGATTGCGAATAGTGGAGCAATCCTCAGTCACGCGGATTAGCTGCAAAGTAAACAGGTAGACGATCTCGTAAATAGGCAATATCAGGAATTTTGACTACGGTAATTTGTGGATATTACGATTTAACCATTATGGAGGTTTGTTGAAAAATACTACAAAGTCTCACTAGAGAATTGTGACGTGGAAAGTGCTTACTGCATACTGCCATTAAATGAGCGTGTTATTTAGCCACGAGAAGTCTCATCCTGTTCAGAGTTAGGTTGATAGCTCTAATTTTAAACACTGAAATCGTTGATGCTCCGTTGCTGCCGCAGATTTTGTATATTTTACTTGTCGGTTCAGTATAGGATAAAGCTTATGAATTGGGATATTTTGAAAAAATCTTTTCACTCAAGGCATTCAAGTTCTGTATGCATCAAGGGACCGTCTTCTAGTGAGTCTGTCACCAATAAGCCCCTTTTGGCAATTTTTTCACCTTTTATCCATAATTTCTTTTCTGTTTTGTTTGGAGTATTTTCTTGCTTTTCTATGCCTAAATCAGGATTATTTATCAATGTTATTTCATGTGAATATATAAAATTACACTTTCATATTCCCCTGGGACTGTAGTCGTCGTGGCGAAAACAATTTTACAGATTTTCTGTGGGAATTAACGCTACCTGGGACCCACTTCCTTCCGTCCAGAAGAAATATATGCATTTTAAGTAAAGAAGTGGCAGCTAAACCAGGACAAAATTGTTTTACCCGGCCTATTAGCATAGAGTTGTATGATATGCCAGTTAACCACGTTCTTTCTAGACGAGATCTTTTCGGGAATTGCACTGCGAAAGGGGTATCAAAATTGCACCATAAAATAGGATCCTTATCTCGCCGTTGAATACGATATGTATCAAAGCATTGACATGACAGTTCACATTTTTTTTGCTTGGAATCGGTTGTAGCTAGCTGGAGTCTGGCAACCTTGATTCACCATTTCCCAATTCTCTGGTCGAGCTGTACAGTATTTTTGCTACTGAATACTGCGATCATTGATTCGTCGCACTCTTTAGAAATATCCGCAGATTCCTTGTTAATTTTGAGTTATTTCACGTACCTTGGATGTGGTTGTCTTCCCATTGCCTGTAAAGATGTTCGCAGGTATTTAATCTTTCCTCATCCAACTGAACCGAACTGACATACTGAAGATTTTTGAGCATCATTTCATGGCAGCAAGTCGCTTAGGTTTATAGAGCATAGAGATCGGTTGCTAATAAGTGACCCTGCTGACAATAATCGTAACATGTTCTGATGATAAAATGGCAGAAGGAGCGAGAATTGCGGCTATGCTGTCTGATGCCTGAGGGGTTTTTTCCCACTTTCCTAATAGTTTAATTGATCAGGCGTTGTATGTAACCGTAAAATAAACTATCAGAAATTCAGAATTTTCCATTTACTTGATATTTGTTTAGGACGGTCCAGTGTCAGTGTATACAAAACCCGTAATGCCGATTAACAGAGCTACGGGCAC